GGGGGGGGGAGAGAAAGAGCCAGTTCAACTAGTTGAGCAAACTCTGCCTGCGGGGGATTTGCAAAGAAAACTCAGGGAGACACCGGTGCGATCCGCACCACTCCCAGGCGAGCCGTTTGCAGGCACCGTACTGGGCTTTCTTCTCCCTCAGCAGTGCCCCGTGTGAGCCCATCAGCAGCCGGGACCCCCGCAAGGAGTGAGAACCGAATTCCTGCCGCGCGGCGGTGGTCACCACGTGCCGTGCGAATATTGGAACCACATGTTGTTCACCGAGCCACGCTCTCCACTGGAAGCTCCTCATTGTTTCTGTGTCGTGGAAAGCATAGTGCTGAGCGGGCTGATTTCTTCCTCCCCGTTTCAAACGTTTCCCCGGTGCAGTCGCAAAAGGGTTTCATATCTGACCGCTGTCCTTTTATTTTAAACCAATTTCTTGGTCTAAAACCAGAATCACAAAGCTACCCATCAACAAATGGCAACTGATTTTCCAGAGGACCTCCATTTTATTTCTCTGGGTCTGCATGCATAAATCCTGATCTCATGGATCACCTCTGCTTGCACAGTTTTCTTGTTCAAATGAGTACAATGTACAAGTCCAAATTCCTTTTGCTGCCCCTGAGTATATGTTCATTTGTGCACAAGTGAAAGTAGGCAGAACTTCTACATGAAAATCTCACTCATGTTGATAAAATTGGTCTAGGAGAGCAGAAGTTGCATGTGTGTATCCGAAGATCCAAATTACCAGAGATAGGACAAAGGGGAATGGCTTTAAACTAAAAGAGGGGAGATTTACGCTAGATGTTAGGATGAAATTCTTTACCCAGAGGTTGGTGAGGCGCTGGCACAGCTGCCCAGAGAAACTGTGGTGCCCCATCCCTGGAGGCGCTCAGGGCCAGGTTGGATGGGGCCCTGGGCAGCTGAGCTGGTGGGGGCAGCCCTGTCCATGGCAGGGGTTGGGGCTGGGTGGGCTTTGAGGTCCCTTCCTGTCAATCCAAATATTCTGTGATACTTTGATAAACCAAAGTCTAACTGGGCTAATACCAAGAAGTAGGGCTTCATTTCTAGCACATGCAAGAGATTTGGAATAATTCTGAGGTTTTTATTTAATCTTTAAAAAAAAAAAAGCATTTCTACTTGAAGACTTGAACAGCATGAGCATCATCCACAAGCCCTGTCATGGGGAGCCTGTGAAGACAACTTGGGCACATGCTGGTTCACAACTGCCAATGAAACGTGAATAAGGAGAAGTCTGTCCTTTCCAGGCTTGTTCCTGCCCAATGCTCTCCTGGCTTCTGAGTCTGGCTTGTAAGTGAATAAGCATAATCTGTGACCTTTAAATTCAACACTAGTAAGGAGCCTACAAGACTGAATGATCCATTTTAGTCCCCAATAATACATGGACAGAGAGACTTGGGTCATTTGACCCTCTGATCTGCTGATCATTTGAATAATATGATATTAGTTGCACATATTTGATCATGATTTCTTGTATTAACCTCTGCCTTGAAGGAGGAGCTGCAGTTTGCTCTTTCTTGAAGCTGATGCGACCCCAGATACCACCCAGCAGGAATGATGAGCCTGCAACACTCCCCACAGTTGCAGGAAGCCTCTATCTATTCCTGCCTCCATAATCCTTTATGAAAGAGCCTTCTGAGGTCCCCACAACAAACTGGTCCTGATTCATGTGTATTGGTATTTCATTTTGCAGATAGATGCAGGTCTTATAAAAGAAGCTTCTAGTTTGATCATGCTTGTCTTCTGACAGCACCGAAGAGGCAGAGGCCTGGGCAAAGCCACACTGCAGGATCCAGCTACAATACCCATTCCTCAGAAATGGGTCTCCATTCTGGGCTGTAGGACTACACTCTGAAATGTCATCTTAGGGGCAAGATTTCTCCTTTGGATCATAATATTTCTCCTTTGGACCACCACTCCTATTCCCTGGGCTGTCCCGAAGCCTTTGCTTAGACAGGGCATCTTAAGTTCCTGTGATGAATCTCCCTGTCTTTGTTCCAGCCTGGAAATGTCTTACATTACAAAGCACTGCTTGCTACAGAGTTTGATGTCCCCTGAGCCCCGCCTGTCCCCTCCACAATTACTGTCTTGTGCAGCAGTCTTAGTGTGGTTAGGGCAGTGTGAGAAGAGTCCTGCAAAAGTCCATAAATATTCTTTTTATTCATGAAAATGCAGATTCCTGTCTCTTCCTCCTTGTCCTGTGTGGTGTCTCATCACAGGCTCTCTCCAGTGCGTACACATCTCAAATAATTCGTGTGTGGCCAGATCTCACCTGCAGAGATTTTCTGTGCCACCTACATTCACAAGAAACAGAAATAGCAGAAACAGTTATGAAGAGTCTAGCTTTAAATTCTGCCACTTGAGTTTGTAGTAGAAATAGAATGACTAAAAGGCTGAATTAGTAATATAGAGAACAGCGTAAAAGACAAAGAATCTCTGCTTCTATTCACAATTGCAAAACTGCATTCTTTTCTCTTTGTTGCAGTTTCCCCCTACTGAATGGCCAGCCAAGAAATCAGCATGTGAACATGTCCATGGAAATAAATAGGAGGCATTACTTTTGGAGCAAGCTACGTATCCCCAAATTAAGCTGTTTCTGTAGGGTCTACAGAGCCGTGCTGGGCACCAAGGCAATGTAAGAAAGCTTTGACTGATTTAACCACCTCAGTTTCAAATCTTTTTAAGATGTATGCATAAAATTCTCCAACAAAGAAACACGTTTCAGTGTCAACCTGAATCCCAAGACAAACAGCACACAACGTCAAATACAGACCTGAAACAGCTTACACAACACAGAGCTTTTAGTCATTATAATGCTATTTTCCATTTAAATAGCTCTACAGCTCCAAGTTCTACATAAAAATCTAGCTACAGAAATCACTGCATCATAATTCAAATGCAACAAATGCATAAAAGTGCATTGTGAAGCTGAGCATTTGACACTCAATATCACTTTTTATGTTTACAGAGTATGTTGTAAAGTGAATCTTTTTTTTTTCTCCTTAAAAGATGCGAGCTGCTGACAGCAAGTCATTTAAGTGTTCTATTGTCCTTATTTCTTCTCCCCCTTGTTAATCAATTTTTAAATTTTCCACATTAATCATCACAGAAAAGACTTTATTCTTGTTTACAATTCTGGGCATGTACAATGAGTTTTTTGTATCATTAAAGTTAATATTTGCTACATCAGTGAAAATGCACAGCTGGTAGGTCTGTCTTGGCGTGCAAATTCAGCATTGGTTTCTGAGGATACAAACCGTAGAAATATAGAAGATATTTGGAAAACTGGGCACAAAGCAAGATACTTGTTCAGTTTAGATTCATAGTCAGATATCCTAGCTTTGCTTAAGAGCTACTGAAGATAAATATGCATTTTAAGATCATGATTCATCTGACCTATTTTAGATCTCTGCTTTGAAGGGACATGAACTGAGTCTTGAGAATCAGCCTTCGCTGACTCTGAACAAGAAGCTGATGTGTGTACGTGTGATTAGCCAGAACCCACCTTAGGAGCATGGTTGAATTCATAGCCAACGACAGCCCCATGTTGTGCAATGCCTGAGCCTCCAAACCTCACCTCTGGAGTACCTACACATCAGAGGGAGGGTTCTGATCCTCCTCTGGCAGATACAGCTGCAGAGGCACAATCTGTTCCTGCCTGCCTCATTCCCCACTTTCAGCATAGGTTACCCACACCCTTAGGGTTGGAAGCCATGTCCACAAACTGAGGCCTGAGTTGTTCAGTATATGATCCATTATATTAGCTCAAAACCCAGTAAAAGCAGTTTTCTATTCCAGCCTGTAAACTTGAGCACAGAAACAATAGCATCTGTTACATTCTGTTGCCTCCCCTTCGAGGCATTAATTTCTAGCCAATGTGCAAGGCAAACATCAGAGACAGTCATGTTTTAAATCACAGTAGTTAAATTTGTCCTCAGGGGTACTAAATCACCAGTGTTGTTTCCAGCAGCACCTGAGTTTTCTTTGCAGAGCTGCCGTGAAGTCTCCAAATGGGCACAGGGTGAAGAGGTCCTCCCTTGATGAAATTCATAATATCATTCAGTTCTTGTATCCCTTCTTTTCTTTCCTCTTGCAGGGGCTGTCCTTTTTTCACGTTTGTTTTGAGCATGTCAAGTTTTCATATTTTCTTCATCACACCCTCACAGAAACTTCCCTTGGCAAACATCCCATCAGCCTGGTTGGGGACCACACTGACTTCTGCAAGCAGTTTTTATATTATGCAAGCTGGTAGTTTTACTTAATAAGAAAGTCTCAGAAATTACCATCTAAATCAAAGCCAACAAATCCTGAAAGAAGTAGCAAATATGTCTTGGTATCACGAGCACCTGTGTTTGTATTTTAATTCATCGCAGATGTTTGGAAGCACCACAGTATCTCAGAGAGCAGAACAAACTTAGCATGAGTTTGTTGTATCTTCTTTGTGGAAAGGAGGGGATTAGAGCATCCTCCCCACAGAGAGACAAGCAGTAACACTCCATTTTTCACCATCTGGTGCCAAATATCTCTCAGTGAACACCTACGTAAGTTTTTTTGTGCTGCAAAATAAATCTTGGCACTGCTTTCTGAACCGGCTTTAAAACGAGTGCACTACAGACCACGCAAAAAGAATCCAAACTCTGAAAGCTTTTTTTTTTTTCCCCCCAAATCATAGTGATTCCAAGCCATTCCAAGCCAGGATTTTGTTTCGCTTGTCTTGTGGGTTATAACTGTAGATTATCAATCATACCAGCTTATTAGTGTGTTCTCACGAGGCT